TAGCCTGCAAAATTGTCCTATGTCGGTCGTTCAACTTTAGTTTCTTTTAATTCGCATATTCAATTTAGGGTACTTACTGTTTGAGCCTCGTAAATTTGCAACTTGTCGGGACTTACAAACTTATTACTTATTTGGCTAAGTCATTGGGTCAGGGTGAATAAATTGTAAAAAATTATAAAAAAGGATAAATTCGATTTCATAGTCAAGTACCTAAAGTCAAGAACCAAAACCAACTCGATTTCGGTTCCTAATTTATTCATATTTTTAGCCAGATTGAAACCTCCAATTCTACTACGGGTATTTGATTTCGATTAAAATGTCCATCCCAATTAACCATACAACAATTAAGGAAATTCTTGACATCGCTAAGGAATTTGTGACAACAAATAAAAATTTAGTGATGAAAAGGAAGCCCACCATTGTGTTTGCCCAATGTTTCCCTGCCTACAACTCACTTCGATTTTTTATATTTTGTTTTATTTTTATGTTTAAAATGTAAATCGTTTGTTAAAAATAAAATCTAAAAATGAGTAAATTGAAAAATAGGATGTGGATATTCTTTTAATCCTCACCTAGTTTTCCCACCACGTTGTCCCCCGGGAACAATATTGGTCTAATGTACATGTTATTCAATCATGAATTCTATTGCCTAGGTATGAGTTCCATCAATTTTGATAATGTTAAATCGTCATACCTAAATGAAATTTAAGTTGCTTCTCAGATTAAAGTTAGGCGACCAACATGAAACGAACATGTAAATTAAAATCCATTTGGTAGCAATTTTTCATTCAAAAAAATCAAATTTTTTATCGTTATTTCATTATTTCAACTGTCAATTTTTACTTCTTTTCTCACAAGTGAGACTTATTTTTCTCTCAGACGATCAAAAAACCAATACTCATAATTACTACCGAACAAGCTCTAAGTAATCTCAATATAAATTTCTTGAAATTTTGTAGTAGATTTTCTAAATTTACCATATATCTATCACATTTTTCAGACCACAATAATTTTTGAATAGACACCTCAGGTATTTTAAAAAATGTCTAATTTCATGGGTATCAATTGAAAAATGTTCACTTTTTAAATTTAGCACTAAATTGTCTATTATGCCCTTTATGAAAAAAGAAGCAATTTTTTTTTCAATTTGTTGCGGATTTCGAAAAGTACATTTCATGATAAGTTACATTAAAATGATGTTCTCGACATTTTAAATGTCATTCTCGATATTTGAATCCGGTTTATATTTTAAAAGTACACATATCAAATCAAAATATTAAAAATGCTCTCGACATTTCAAATATTGTTCTCGACATTTTAAATCTTTAGAATGACATTTCATTCCAAATATGACAATTCTCTATACTTGAAATGTAATTCTCAACGTTTCTGTGTTAATGAGAAAAATAACATTAATTGTTATTTGACATGTACATTTTTTAAATAAATATGGCAGATTATGTGTCAAAAATTTATTGACCAATAAATTTTTTGCAAAAATGTCAATTTATTGTCTTTGTGTGAAATCATAAATTGTTCATAGAGGTATTTTGATAAAAAAAAAATATTTCAAAATGAATATTTTTGCAAGGATTTGTGAAAGTGAACATTTTTACAAATGAACACGTGAAAGTGGACATTTCAAACAATTTCCTCTAAAATGAATTATTCTGAACTGTTGTCTAACCCTTGTCTTTTCATTGGGCTTTGTTTGATCCACATTAAAAAAAAAAAAAAAAAAATCTTAAATAGTGATTTGATATCATTTCAATCACACGTTGTATAATAAGATAATATTATATATAAATTCACAATTTTTTCTTATTTTTTAATCGTATATTTTTCATCAATACATTATTCAAAAATACAATTTTATGAAAATAACGTGGATCAAACAAAGGGCCTACTCTAACCACGGTTACTTTACCACTTCCATTTAAAGATAACCAAACCTCATGCACAAAACATCAGTTGGGATTTAGGGGAAACGAAATCTTAGTGTGAAAAGAAAAAGGAAAAGCTACCAAGCCCACAATTTCTTCTCTGAATCTCGTCCCACTCTCTCTCTTCAAAAATAACAGAAAAAGAAAAATATTTACTACTAAATTCTCACTCTTTTAGCGAATCTGTGATTTTCGACTCTCGAAGATAGGTGGGTTTTTTTATGTTCTTAATTGTTTGTTTCAATTCGTTTGAAACTCGTGTATGTTAGGTTTATATTTTAATGATTTTTTTATTTTTATTTTTTTGTTATGTATGTTTTTGTAGATTTATGGTTCTCGAGATCTGAGACTGGAGGTATGGTCGATTGGGTATTTGCCAAAAAGATCATTTTCTTGTTCAAGAGGGAACATGGGTTTTTGTTGGATTGATTGTGATTCAAATTTCTTATAATAAAAGATTTGGGTTTTTTCTTGTTGTAGTGTAATAGGGTATTTAAGGTTGCCTTTCTGTTTTGCTGGTGGGTGGAGTTGAAAAATGGGGGCAATATTGTGGAATGATGAGGACAAGGATATGGTGGCTGCGGTTTTGGGGACTAAGGCTTTCGATTACTTGATATCGAGCTCGGTTTTGGCCGAATGCTCGTTAATGACTATGGGGAATGATGAGAATTTGCAGAATAAGCTTTCAGATCTCGTGGAACATCCTAATGCTGCTAGTTTTAGTTGGAATTACGCAATTTTCTGGCAACTATCGCGATCCAAGTCAGGTGACTTGGTCCTAGGATGGGGGGATGGTTGTTGTCGAGAGCCTCGTGAAGGTGAAGAATCCGAAAGGTCTCGGATTTTGAATTTTAGGCTTGAGGATGAGACTCAGCAAAAGATGAGGAAAAGGGTTCTTCAGAAGTTACATACTCTGTTTGGGGGAACTGAGGAGGATAATTATGCTTTTGGATTAGACAAGGTTACGGATACTGAAATCTTCTTCCTTGCGTCCATGTACTTCTCCTTCCCTCGGGGAGAAGGTGGCCCGGGGAAGTGTTATGGATCTGGAAAGTATGTTTGGTTATCAGATGCATTCAACTTCTCGTTTGATTACTGCGTGAGGTCGTTTCTTGCGAAGTCTGCTGGTATGCGAACTATTGTTTTGATTCCGACTGACATTGGAGTGGTGGAATTAGGATCCGTGAGATCGGTTCCAGAATGCTCGGAACTCTTGCAGATTATAAGATCTTCATTTTCTTCAACTTCGTCTCTTATCAGGGCCAGTCAAGCTGCGTCTTTTCCTGTGGGGACGAGTAGAAAAGATGGCGACAACCCAAAATCTGATTTGGTAATTGGTAGCAGATCAGACATAGTTCCTAAGATTTTTGGTCAGGATATGAATTCCGGTTCTGTGCAGTTCAGGGAAAAGCTTGCTGGTAGGAATTTGGAAGATAGGCCATGGGACGTATATGCAAATGGGAACAGGCTTCCATTCACACATGCAAGAAATGGTTTCCATGGTTCAAGTTGGACACAATTGGGTAATATAAAGCCAGGGAACTCAGTAGAAATTTACAGTCCTCAGACCGTAGCCAAAAATCCGCACGAGCTTGTTAACAGGACAAAGGAAGAGTTTCAGCTTAGTAGGTTTCAGCATCAAAAGCCTGCCCAAATGCAGATTGATTTTACTGGAGCGACTTCAAGACCTATAACTTCTCAACCTCGTAATGTCGATTCTCAGTGTTTAGATGCTGAGGTTTCATGCAATGAGGAGCTCTCTGATGATAGAAGGCCTCGAAAGCGTGGTAGGAAGCCTGCCAATGGAAGAGAAGAAGCTCTCAATCATGTTGAGGCAGAAAGACAACGGCGAGAGAAGCTGAACCAGCGGTTTTATGCATTGCGAGCAGTTGTGCCTAATATTTCGAAAATGGACAAAGCATCCCTCTTAGGAGATGCCATTGCTTACATAACTGAACTGCAGAAGAAGCTGAATGATATGGAATCCGAGAAAGAAAAGTTTGGAAACATTTCACACGAGACAAAGATTTTGGAAGCAAAACCAAATTCTGAATGGCAAGATCAACCTCCTAGTATTGACATCCAATCCGGTCATGATGAAATCATTGTGAGGGTGAGCTGCCCATTGGACGCTCACCCGGTAACAAGGGTCTTTCAAGCAATCAAGGATTCACAAGCAACAGTTTTTGAGTCGAAGATTGACACAGACAGTGACCATGTATTTCACACATTTGTTGTCAAGTCGCAAGGATCAGAGCGAATAACAAAGGAGAAATTGATCGAGGCATTTTCCCGTGAGTCCGGTTCCTTACCACCATCAAAATCTGTTATCAACAGAAACTGTGCTTAACAAAGCTTAATGTGTAGTGAATACTGTGCTTAACAGAGCTTTAATGTGGAAATTTCGAAGGTTTTTTTTTTTGATATATAGGAATTAATGCTAGGAGCAGAAAAATAATCTTCTACTGAATAGGATAGCAATTCTATTATTGTTTATATGACACATTTGTCATAAAGGGTAATCGTTGAAGATAAATTGAATTTATTATGTTGTTAAGAAGCTATTAACTTTGTTTTTAAGTTCGTTGATGATCGCGAGCTGTCGGTTTATCTTCCTCGTCTCATTTAAATGATATTATTTTGTTGTTGTGTTTGTTAGTACAGAAATATATATGGTTTTCCTTTGTTCATTTTGGATAATGATCTCTCAGTAAAGAATGTAAGGGATTGATGAATAAGATTAATGCTTGGTGTACAGAAAATTTTTTTACAAAAGAAATACAGATGACCAATGGCGTGGGCCTCATATGATTAAATAATATGAAAAAATTACCACGCACCTCCCAAATGTAAGGTGTCGGTAGGGGTGCAAAACCCCTATCTATACACCAGTCACATTGAGTAGAACCCCTTTTTTTCAAATTGTTGAAAAATTCATATTTCCTCCAGAAATGATGATGATTATTTTCTTTTTATGAGAGAAAAAATTTGTATTTTGAAATGAGGTGGATAATAGGGCGGGAATCATGTTCTCGGTACCTGTCTCACCCCGTCCCAACTCTGTCTCAAGACAATGAACCCCACGTCTAAATCTTATTTCGTGTATCCGATTAGGTGGGGAATTCCTGTCCCGTTCAAGGCGGTCCAAGAGTATCGTGTAAAACGAGTTTTTTATCATCCCTAGAAATAATTATTTTGACTTTGAGGAGCTCCTGGATGGATATAAAACCATGGAGAAGATAATGCATTTCTTTAAAATTAGTAGTGATAAAAGTTAAAGAATATTATTTTTCGACAATTATATCGACCAGTCATGTATTATGTACCTACTGTGTGTCCTTTAATTGTCTAAATTGATGGTCCGAACAAAATGTTGGGAACATGGGTTGACACATAAAAGAATTTGCCCTATTAGAATTAGAAAGGTTAAAAGAATATAATATTTTTATGAATTGTTCAGATTAATGCATTAAACACAATCGTACAGTACAACAATTACAAAATCAACATCAATCGTTGCAATTTGTGCTGCAACATGACATTTACGGGGCCAAGTAATAGTGGGGAGGAAGAAACGAGGGCCTACCATTTTTGTTTTCGTGGGCAAGTGTGGTCGGCAACCGACAAAGCATAATAAAAGTAAAACATAGGATCATGCAACAACGCGAATTGTATGGTAAACATTAATCCCAAAATTAGAATTTATAAATAATTTTAAGCACAAAACGTCCCTATTTATATAAGTTTATTGTGTAAAACATCCCAACCCTATTTTTTTTTTTTTCACCTCTATTTCAACCTTACTTTGTGAAAATTATCCTTGTTTACCGTTCACTTTTTCTACAATTAAATTTAAAAAAATAAAAACATAAATATAATTATTTCTCAAATAAGTTGTTACCATCTACACTTTTTCTACTAAAACTCCAAATTTCAAATAAAAGAAAAGTAAGCTGAAAAATTATTTATTGTAAACTCCAAAATTAATTTATAGGTTTACTTTTCATTTTGATTTAATTTTTTTTTCAAGTCGCAAGGATCAGAGCGAATAACAAAGGAGAAATTGATCGAGGCATTTTCCCGTGAGTCCGGTTCCTTACCACCATCAAAATCTGTTATCAACAGAAACTGTGCTTAACAAAGCTTAATGTGTAGTGAATACTGTGCTTAACAGAGCTTTAATGTGGAAATTTCGAAGGTTTTTTTTTTGATATATAGGAATTAATGCTAGGAGCAGAAAAATAATCTTCTACTGAATAGGATAGCAATTCTATTATTGTTTATATGACACATTTGTCATAAAGGGTAATCGTTGAAGATAAATTGAATTTATTATGTTGTTAAGCTATTAACTTTGTTTTTAAGTTCATTGATGATCGCGAGCTGTCGGTTTATCTTGTTCGTCTCATTTAAATGATATTATTTTGTTGCTGTGTTTGTTAGTACAGAAATATATATGGTTTTCCTTTGTTCATTTTGGATAATGATCTCTCAGTAAAGAATGTAAGGGATTGATGAATAAGATTAATGCTTGGTGTACAGAAAATTTTTTTACAAAAGAAATACAGATGACCAATGGCGTGGGCCTCATATGATTAAATAATATGAAAAAATTACCACGCACCTCCCAAATGTAAGGTGTCAGTAGGGGTGCAAAACCCCTATCTATACACCAGTCACATTGAGTAGAACCCCTACTTGTACTCCAGTCACGGCTCGATGAATAAAGATTCATTTCTTCTGCTATAAATTTAGAATAAAGCTCTCTGCACAGGCCCTTTGCACAGGGCCTGTGCAAAAGGGTCTGTACAAGTAACACAACTGATAAATTTATTAAAAATTGATAAAATATGTGGTCGAAAAGTTATGTGTGATTAAAATTAATTGGTGATTTTGACTTAAATTTTAATCAGATTTTCTATAAGTTTGGTTTATGTACGACTTTTTCTTTTCAAATGACAACGACTAGCGCGTGGGTACAGGATGCTAAGAAAGCAATGTGAGAAACCTTGAAAACGTGTGGAATGTGGGCTTCAGTTCCTAATCTAAGACTCTTCCCACCGAAATTGTTAATTAAACAAAAGATAGCCGACTCCAATAGAAATATCTTCTCGTTAGGTATATTTTACAGTACTAGATAATATTAAAAAGGTAAATTCTACGAAGGTCCCTAATTTTTCTATTTGTACTGCTTCCTGTCGACAACTATTTAAAATTGTGCTCGTGGTATCCCAACTTCGATGGAAACCATGTATTTAGATGATAAAATGTTGGCAATAGGCACGCGCTAAATAACTTGTGAGTATAATAGTTCAAAAATAATTAGGGATGGTAAAGGAAAGAAAGGAGAGGGAATCCCCCACCCCATTTGATATCTTTATCTCTTGTCAAGCCCTCATACTCGATTAAAAACAGGGCGGGACATATCCCCTATCTCATTTACCATTCCATTTATTTATTTTTTGGTTTTATCCTTTTATTGTTGAAAACTATTACTTTTTTTTTTTTTTTCAAATTGTTGAAAAATTCATATTTCCTCCAGAAATGATGATGATTATTTTCTTTTTATGAGAGAAAAAATTTGTATTTTGAAATGAGGTGGATAACAGGGCGGGAATCATGTTCTCGGTACCTGTCTCACCCCGTCCCAACTCTGTCTCAAGACAATGAACCCCACGTCTAAATCTTATTTCGTGTATCCGATTAGGTGGGGAATTCCTGTCCCGTTCAAGGCGGTCCAAGAGTATCGTGTAAAACGAGTTTTTCATCATCCCTAGAAATAATTATTTTGACTTTGAGGAGCTCCTGGATGGATATAAAACCATGGAGAAGATAATGCATTTCTTTAAAATTAGTAGTGATAAAAGTTAAAGAATATTATTTTTCGACAATTATATCGACCAGTCATGTATTATGTACCTACTGTGTGTCCTTTAATTGTCTAAATTGATGGTCCGAACAAAATGTTGGGAACATGGGTTGACACATAAAAGAATTTGCCCTATTAGAATTAGAAAGGTTAAAAGAATATAATATTTTTATGAATTGTTCAGATTAATGCATTAAACACAATCGTACAGTACAACAATTACAAAATCAACATCAATCGTTGCAATTTGTGCTGCAACATGACATTTACGGGGCCAAGTAATAGTGGGGAGGAAGAAACGAGGGCCTACCATTTTTGTTTTCGTGGGCAAGTGTGGTCGGCAACCGACAAAGCATAATAAAAGTAAAACATAGGATCATGCAACAACGCGAATTGTATGGTAAACATTAATCCCAAAATTAGAATTTATAAATAATTTTAAGCACAAAACGTCCCTATTTATATAAGTTTATTGTGTAAAACATCCCAACCCTATTTTTTTTTTTTTCACCTCTATTTCAACCTTACTTTGTGAAAATTATCCTTGTTTACCGTTCACTTTTTCTACAATTAAATTTAAAAAAATAAAAACATAAATATAATTATTTCTCAAATAAGTTGTTACCATCTACACTTTTTCTACTAAAACTCCAAATTTCAAATAAAAGAAAAGTAAGCTGAAAAATTATTTATTGTAAACTCCAAAATTAATTTATAGGTTTACTTTTCATTTTGATTTAATTTTTTTTCTTTATAAGCCGGACAGATGTCCAAGTCGTTTTCGATTTCAAAGTGAACTCAAAATCAATCCAACTCAAGCCTAAATATAAGCTCTTATTTAAATAAAACAAGAAAAATAAAAAAAACTAATTGCAATCATACTATCAATTTTTTTTTTTAAAAAAAGTATAAACAAATCCCAAATAACTTATTAAAATTAAAAATAAAAAACTCACTTTCTCCCTCCCTCCTCCTCCTCCATAATTGGAATTTCAATAATAATGATAATGGTAATGTTAGAATTGCACCATCGGTTACACAATAGGTGAGAGAGCAGTGTAACAAGAAGCTGGGGTTGAAATTATGATCAAGCTATTCTGTAAAAGGACATTTTGAAATTTGAAATGCTATTGCATTTTATTTCTTTATTTTATTTTATTTTTGTTTTATTTAAATAGTGGTGTGTACTTGTCATTTCATAATTTTTTTTATTGAAAAATTGGATGAAAATATATGGAAATATTGATTTCCATAATAAAAGGTTGACATAGGAGAGAAAATGTTAAAAATGTAACATTGGGACATTTTACACAATAAACTCCACACGTGTGGACGTTTGGTGCTAATGACCCATTATTTTAAAAAGACTGATTGGGACATTATCCTCTACCTTTGAGATCTATGGCGTAAAACTCCCAACCTTTTAGAATTGACTAAAAACATCTATATATGAAACTTGGTGTGTATTTTACCCCTCCATCGTCCACTACTGTCAAATCTGTTGTTAATTTCAAATAGGGTAATTAGCACAAAAACGTCCCTACCTTTCAATGTTATTATGCAAAACATCCATACCTTTTTTGGCACTTTTATCCTTACCTTCACTTTTTATTGCGAAAATCGTCATTTTCACCAAATTTCTTGTGTAAAATGACAAATATAGGAAAAGAAAATTTAAAGAATAAATTGCAATTATATCCCAATTTTTTAAAAAAGTGCATATGATTCCAAATAAATTATTAAAAAAGGTAATTAGCACAAAACGTCCCTACCTTTCATTTTTTGACATTTTCATCCTTATTTTATATTTCATTACGAAATCGTTATTTTCATCCATTTTCTCAATTAAAAATTGTAAAATGACAAATATACACTTCTCTTTAAATAAAAAATAATAATAAAGAACAAATTGTAATTATATTTTCAATATAAAATTTTCAAAAAAGTACAAATAAATTTCAAATTAATAATTAAAAAAAGAAAGTAATTTATTTGAAATTTATTTATATTTTTTTTTGAAAAATTTGGGAGTATAATTGTAATTTGTTATTTATTTTTCTTTTCTTTATTTTTGTTTATTTAAAAAGTAGGGTATATTTGTAATTTTATAGCTTGTAATTGAGAAAAATGTATGAAAATAATGATTTTTGCAATGAAATATAAAAATAAAGGTAAAAATGTCAAAAAATTAAAGATGGGGATGTTTTGTACAATAATAATGAAATATAGGTGTCGTTTTGTACTAATTATCCTTTTAATAATTCATTGGGACTCATTTGCACTTTTTAAAAAAGTATGGGAGTATAATTGTAATTTATTCTTTAACTTTTCATTTTCTTTTTTATTGTTTTATTTAAAAAATTAGTATATTTGTCATTTTACAAGAGAAATTTGATAAAATGATGATTTTAGCAATAAAATGTGAAGGTAAGGATAAAAGTGCCAAAAAATGAAAGGTATGAACGTTTTGTACTAATTACTCTTTCAAATAAATAGGACAAAAATGGAAAAATTAAAAAGCGTAAATCATGTTTCTTTCTTCTCCTATTTTTATTCTTTTACAAATTATACATTTATTTTGTTGCCTAAACCTAGCCTTGCCTTTCCAACCTGCAAAATCTTATTGAAATCATTGTTTCTTTTGTCTCCTTTAGACGCCAAGCTGAACTCACTTGACTAGCTAACTTGGATGTCTAAGAGCAACTTGGGGATTCATCTAAGGCTGATCGAGTCGAGGGCTATGTCGACCACGATGCATTACATCAACTCGAGCGAGTTAGGACTCCAAGAGAAGGCCATGTACATGCTGCTAAACTTTAGCTTAGATGATTATAACAAGGTGGGATTGGTGGCAGAGAAAGTAATTGGAAAGGTGGTATTCGCCTTATGGTATGGCTCTGGAGAGCAGAAGACGGCAAGATTCTAACAAGTCTTGCTTACTAGGTCAACAAGGTCACGATTGGTCTTACCCGAATGCCATTCCTCGCTTGCTAGCTCTCTTTTGCGTAGGAAATTCAAGAGAGAGGAAAGAAGTAGCAACAACTTTCAAGCTAAAATATGATGACATTTAAATGAAAATGTGAATATTTTAAAAAAAGAAAAATCACATTCTCTTTTAATTATTTATTTTAAATTTATTTGTACTTTTTTTTTGAAAAATTTGGGAGTATAGTTGCAATTTGTTTTTTATTTTTTTTTCTTTATTTTTGTTTATTTAAAGAAGGGGTATATTTGTCATTTTACAACTTTTAATTGAGAAAATGAATCAAAATAATGATTTTTACAACGAAATATAAAAATAAAGGTGAAAATATTAAAAAAATGAAAGGTATGGATGTTTTGCACTATAATAATGAAAAAAAATGGTCATTTTATGCTAATTACCCTTTTAATAATTTATTTGAACCCATTTGCACTTTTTTTAAAAGTTTGGGAGTATGGTTGGAATTTATTCTTTAACTTTTCTTTTTTATTGTTTTATTTAAACAGGGGATATATTTGTCATTTTACACGAGAAATTTGATAAAAATGACAATTTCTGCTATAAAATGTAAAGGTAATGGTAAAAGTGCGAAAAAAATGAAAGGTATGGACGTTTTGCACAATAATATTGAAAGGTAAGGACGTTTTGTACCAATTACACATTTATAATATTTAGGATAAAAGTTAAAATTACTCCTATTTGTCCTCAATCGAATTGAATTTAACATGAGTTAAATCAGCAATTAGATAGTAATCTTTGTATTAACAATAATTCAGACTCTTAGATCCATTTTATTACTTGTTAAGATCTATATATTTGCAAGATATTTGTACAGGTGTCGTACTAGATGACGGTGTCTTGCTAATGTGATTATTTATCTCATTTATTGTTTATGAGGAGAGGAGTTTAACTTGTGAATTTGAGGCTTTACATTATAAAAAAATGTGTTTGTTATTGGCCACTCGAAAGATAGCGAAGAAAGCTTTTTAGAATGATCCATATGACTGGTGATATGATTGTGGAAGATGTCTTCGCCATGCTAAACTATAAATCGATTGAAGTTCAAATACTTTTGAACGAGTCAAATAACATGTTTATAGAAGATCTCTTCGTCATTCAACCTGAAAAATCAACAATTAACGACAAAAATATAGAAATCGAGAAATTAATCATGATGGAGTCAACCAAATCAGTGGCATTCAAAAAAGAGGGAATAAGGACGCAAAGCTCCAATTTCATTTATTTTGGTATTACAGTCGATGAGGAGATCGAGAATTCAAATTGTGTAATTTAGACAAGTCGTATCATATTCAAGAGAACAACGTAAGATCATGGAGGAAGTGTATAAACAATCTATGCAAGCTAAGCAAGACTTTCAAAATCTTATCCAAAGTGTCGTGAAACAATCATTATTAAGAGCCGAGTTTGCGATTATAAATCAAGAACTCATGGAGGACACCAATCTTTTTAACCTTTAATTTCAAATTCCTTTTGGGGAATTTACACAAATGTCACTAAATTTGAAAATGCACAAAAAATTTTCTCTTGCACAATTTTTTTGCAAAAATGTCACTTTTTCCTCAAAAAATGTCCATCTTACCATTTGACACTTTTTTAGGAGCAATAAATGCTTGATTTGAATGCAATTAATGGTGTGATATGATTATTTATTTATCTTTATTGTTAATATTGAAGAAATGAATATTATATTGTATAATATGAATTTTTGATTAAAAAAATGGGTGGAATGTATACAAAGAGCACACACAAGTAGGAGTTGAAATAACTTCTTCTTCATCATCCCCGTTCCATTATTAACAAGGCATGAAGGAAAGCCATTGATCAATTTCAAAGGTGAGGTAGTAGAAACGAAATTTTTGCATGTCATACTTAACTATTTTAAATATTCAATAGAATATGATCAGAATTAATTGTTCATATTTCATCTCTTATTCATTGATTTTTTTTATTTTTGGTATATTTTAGAAAGGGAAAAAATACCAATATTCTCAACAAAATGTGAATCATTCTATATGTAATTCCATATTTAATGAAGTATTGAGTTATACTTTCTTTGTGTGTGGGGAGATCAGTTGAAGTTGTAGTTGAGAATTGATTATGACCATTAGTGTGCTACAATAAATTCCTGAAACAGTAAAACACATGATTTTGTAGGTTCCCCGAAACTTATGCCATTCAAATGTTGAGCAGTTTTGTAGAAACTGTCGGGTTAGACATTTGAACTGTCGAAATCAACATTTAGTAACTGTCGGGATGGCAGAGAATTCAATTATCGATTTTGACACCTGAAAAGCTTTCTCTTTTTGGTACTACATGGATCAAAGTATTGTAATGCACCAATTTGACTGTATTAAATCTTTCAACATATTAATGTGCAGAATTCTAACTTTTGTACTCCCAACATTTTAGGTATGACTCAGGATCTGAGATTCATCGTGTCGCATGGGGAGAACTTTGTTCGCGTGGATGACGAATGGAAGTGGAGAGAGGACAAAATGACTTCCATTTTAGCGCCGAGAAGCATTACCGTAGCAGAACTTGTATTAAGATTGAAGGAGAAACTTGGTATTGTTGAACCCCGCAATGAAATTGAGTTGAAGTTCAAAGTCCCGAATTTGAATATATCTCCGGCAGAGATACGGGACGATGAGGACCTAAATTGGTACATATCTATGCATAAGGAAACTGCACTCTGCGTCATTATTATGGAAACCGGGTCCTGAGTGTTGACATGGCGAGGGAAGCAAATTGTGTAGAGAACCAGTTCGGCCTAACGGAATGTCCCCAGACTTTAAGACATGGTGAGGTCAATCATGAGCACAGTGGATCGAACAACGAAGCACCCATACCTTCAATTGACCATATCGAGGCTGCAGCATCCGTTGAGCACTTAGAGAACCTGTTACATAGTACGAATGATGCTATTATTGCTGAAATTGACCAGCCAATGTCATCACATTCCATGAGTTTGGGCACAGATGAGTGGATGACAGCCGTTGTTCTCGCCGAAAAGCAAATATTCTTTAGCAAGAAACAATTGTATTCGAAGATTCGTGTGCTTGCTTTGCAAGAGAAGTTTCAATTTCGGGTGACCAGGTCAAGCATGAAAATGTTAACCGTTGTATGTGTGGACGATAATTGCAAGTGGATGCTACGTGCTTCTACTGTCAAGCAATCTGCAATCTTCATGATCTGTAAATTCATCAACGTGCACACATATTCCCTTGATTTTTGTCATAACGCACATCGGCATGCCACTAGTTCTGTAATTGTCGAGCACATTTTGGGCAAACTGGATACTCCAGGTCGATCGTATGACCTTACCGCTATTGCACGTGATATGGAACGTGAGTTAGGTGTGAAAATCAGTTACAACAAAGCTTGTAGGGGAAAGTTTCATGCCTTAACTATGCTACACAGTATACCAGAAGCCAGTTTTCAGAAATTATCTTCATACTACCACGTCGTAGGAGAGAGTAACCCGAGGACAGTAACCCACAAAGAACTCGATTCTCAAAATAGATTTTATTACTTCTGCCTAGCTTTCGGTGCAAGCATTCGTGGTTACACGCAGTACTTGAGACCCGTTATTTATGTTGATGGCAGTCATCTGAAGGGTCCATACAAAGGGACACTTCTACTGGCAATAGCGCAATATGGTAACAAACAGATATATCCGTTAGCATGGGGGATCGTGGATGCTGAAACCAATAAATCCTGGAAGTGGTTTATGTCCAACTTGAAAGAGCTTATACGGGACTCCGAAGACCTCGTATTTGTTTCAGACAGAAAAAAGAGCATTGACAAAACTATTACTCAGTTGTTTCTGTTGTCTCACCATGGTTGTTGTATCTGGCATCTCGAAAAGAACCTAATACAGCGGTACAGCAACGCAAGTGCAATACTTCTATTCAAACGAGCTGCTACGACATATCGGGTTGAGGACTTTGAAAAACTCATGGGACAGATTCGCAGGGTGAGCGCAAGAGCGCACGGGTACTTAGAGCGTGCGGGTTATTCATTTTGGTCCCGACCATTATTTATTGGCCACCGTTACAACATTATGACGAACAACAATGCTGAGTCTCTGGGTAACCTGCTTGGTTGAACACATTCAGAGTACTTTGCAGAAGTGGTTTTATGAACGTCAAAAAAATGCAACCGAATGTAGTACAGTATTGATGATGAGGATGGAAAACGAGTTACGGATGATATTCAAAACTGGAACTAGGCTTCGAGCCCATTTGTTGATAAACAACTAAACTCAGGTTGGAATATCCAACGACATGGACATAGTTGACTTTTTCGAAGCCACTTGCACGTGTCGTGAGTTCCAACAAAATCGTATGCCATGTGCGCATGCAACTCGTGTTGTTTACTTCAGAGAGAAGTCATTGTGTGACATTTGCTCCCCTTGTTAGACATCTAAATACTGGAGGGGTGCCTATAGCGAAACTATATATCCTGTTGGACTTGAAGCGGACTGGGTTGTTCCCAGTTTAATTACATTTACTCCTATTTTACCACCACTCGTACGTTGCCCTTCAGGTAGACCACCGACCCGACGTAAGCATTCAAGACACGAGTCTATATGGTCGAGCAGGAAATGCACTCATTGTGGTCGTCTTGGTCATAATCGGAGCACATGTTCAAACCCCAATGTATCACAAGTTCTTTAAACGTTGTTAGTGTAATCGACGTTGTATGTTCAATGTTCCGTAGTACACTGCACCTTATGAAGTTATGTTATAAAGAGTGTGATAATTACCATTTCTGGATGTTCGGCATCCTTCTGTGGGAATAGAACAATTCCTTCTGTCGTGTATCCTCGATTAATGCAACCTCAGATGCTATGTTTCAATTTTGATTCTAGTATTGAGCGAAAGCTTACACCTAGGGGTTCTTTATTCGTAATATCCCGACATGTGAAATGTCTGTCCCGGCAGATGTGTTCTGGATTCCTGACAGTTGATGAATGTGTGCACAACTCTCAAGATCAGTTTCACGTACATGGCGAACTGTAGATTCTGTGAAAGGGAAACAACGTAATTGTAACATGCTTGAAACAAAGTCTTTAAACACGTACAACTAACCCTCCAAGTGCACGATGAATCAAATACTTTAAGGTAGTAGGCAAAAGGAATTGTAAATTGGGACGTTGTCCTTTTCTTGTTGAACTGCGCGCATCATGAACCCCATTTAAAACATTTATGTTCAATATCCATGAAATATATTATAATTTGTAGCATCGTCCTCTGTGGAGAGAAATCAGCTCTAGATAAACAGCATTTCATAACATCTACCAAATGTGGTGCAAAATTAGATGTAGGTTCATTTGTCGTTCTCGACAGATAGAAATCTGTAATTCTCGACAGTTCGATCGGACTGGACTATACACAAAATACACTACCCGGATTACGGCGAAGGGACATTTTCATGCAGACATTTTGGTTCTGTGTTAACCAAATGTATCCCTACAAAAGAGTGGATTGTACACTACTTATTCACTACACTCCACGACCGGCATTTCACTCATCGTCGACAATCGAACTTGCTCCCCCGCTGTCTTCACCTGACTCGTCAGACGAGATGATAATTACCTCGTTCTCTGGGACGTATGCTAGCCCATCGTCATCCTCGAAATCCCCCTCGTAGGCAGCATCGATCAAGAACACAGTATCAAGCACATCGTTCTATGACAAACCATCGTCACTCCCAACATTTTCCAAGTTCGAAAAGGGAACAGGGGAAATGGCTCTCCTACTTGTACGAAGCTCAATTTCATCATCGTCTGAGGAAATGTAGATTGAAAATAACGGAGAGGAACCGGGAACCGACATCGGCTCATCCATGTTGAACGGTTTGGTGCTTCTTGTGGACGAACTCATTATGCTATTGTAGTAAAGTATTGATAAAACGAAATGTGTCTTTGAGAGACATAAATTCTCACAATGCTATTCCACTAAGTTGTCTAGGAGTGAGAACAATGTGACACTGTATTTATAAGTAGCTTGAAGAGGAAAAGCAATTGTGGTCATTATCTACCCAACCACCAAGTCCAATCTCCTTGTTAATTTGAAAAGCAATTGATGTGATGGTTCAATATATTTATAGTACCTTTATCCCCCATTTCCCCATAATTAGTAGGACATTTAACACTCTTTATTATTTTTGTACAATTCACTACATCTACAGTCCTGCACCTAAAATGCCTCTGTGCAAAATATTCCTAGTGGATTACATTATATTCACGCACATGGTATACTGAGTACAGTTCATATGAAATATTTTGAAAAGTAGTTGGAAGTTTCTATAGATGCTTGACAACAATGTGAATTTAACAACGATGTCAACATTGAGCATATAAGAGAAGAAATACTGTAGTTATTATCAAAATAAAGTTTTAAGTACTATAATGTCCATCTTCTTGTACAGTAGAGTGCAGTTTAGTTGCCCTTTTACATGAGTGGACTTTCTTGGTGCCCTTTAATTGATGTTCTTACCTGGAAACAAGGCATACTTTAACATTTAGAAATGAAGCTGACTGTAATTCTCTGTTTATGGAAGCCAGCCATTGACACTTTTGGTACACAGCTATAAAGAAAGTAATTCATTAAAACTTGATGGAAACTCAACAAGTGACAGGAATAAGTCCTACTTTCGCTAAAGAGCACTTACGGAAAACAATTTAATGCGTGGTGATGACAAGTAAAATAGACACCAGCTCGAAACTTGGACAACTTCAAATATTTGAAGAATGCAAAGATCATTTTCTAAAGCGAACTTCAACGAGAACATAGAATTACAAATATGCCAAGAACGTATCTCAAAAGCGAATAAACACATTAGCCAAAGTACCAGACATGCGAGTAGACGAGAACGAACGTTGCAAGAGGAAAATAATCAAGCAGGTTAATGTATGAGTGTCAGATAAACGCTTATCATGTCAACTTAGGTTCTGACTGTTCACGTAATATAAGACATAAACAAGGTATCTGGCTTGTAACAGTAGAACCAAATGTCATGACAAGTGGACACGAACTATGTCATAACTAACGGCAAGGCAAAATGTTAGACGCGCTTCAAAATTCCAACGCACATGTCAAATGAAAAAGTCAAGTGTCAATGTTAGAATAAACGTAAAAACAAGGGATTAATTGTTCCCGTCTACATCATTCACCATCTGCACGTCTGTAACGGTAAGTCAAAATAAAAAACAACCTCATCGTCCTGGCATCCCGCCACTTCATTCACAATTACTTCTTCAATGTCTTTTCCCTCCCCATCGTGTACGGTGTCCTCGTCGCAGGAGTGGGACGTCGCAGCCGGGCGGAGCGCTGTCTCGTCGTAGAAACTCTACCTCCTTCTTTTGGTACAGGGGCGGGAATAAGTATGTCAACAACGGGAACAGGTATGGTAGCGACAATACCTACGTGAAAATGGAAAGGGCCTAGTGAGTTACCGTAAATGACGTTCACTAACCATACGTATTATACGCACTAGTAACGCACGTAATGAACTTACCTTCGCCATCTATGACGTTGCAACTGTCAATCTCTGCATCGTTGACCGCGGCCGCATCTGAGGGCTCTGTGCCAGCTCCGTCTTATTACCAGAACACACGTAAATGCATAGCATTCGACAAAACATTAGGAAGCAAATGCCATGACATGAAATTGCGAAAAGTGCTTGTAATGGACGCAATACCTTCCTGATCGTCAATTGGAGTGGGCAACGGCTCGTGGTCGGCGTCCGAGCATGGTGTAATGTCAGCTTCCTCTGTTGACAACAACAGTAAAATAATGTGAGCACATTTGTTATGTCAAGTTTTGCAACATGCGTAGTCAATGAAATAATATGTTTCGATTTGTGCATGAAATACCCACATACTTGGCAAGTCTTCAGTTCCAACAAGCAGCTCTCCCTCGTCCGTGCATGGAGGACTGTATGCTCTGTCTGTGGAAAGCAACAGTGATGTCATGCGAGCACATTACATCTCCCAACTCAAGCATTGTACAACGTCCAGGCAATGACATGTTTAGAATCGCTCGTTAATAATGCACGTACCTGGAGGCTGTGAACGTCCTGCGTCAACTCCCATTTCAATTGGAGTAGGCAATGGGTCTGTGCCTCATCCATGTACGTCTACATCCCAATTGTAACTTGAAAAAATCGAATAACCTTGTGGTCAATTTCAAAAAATATAACCAAATAGCACATGTTTGATTCATACCTTGTGGGGAACAACCTGAAGGACCGGGCTAGAAAATGGCGCCCGTTGAGCGCGGAGCGGTGGTAGGGGGATGTGCGCCAACCTGGGCAGCAATGAACTCACGGAGTCTTGTACATTCAAATGTCATGTGCTGTTCAATTTCAAGTTTCACAGTCCGAAGTCGCATCTCGAAGAGGATTCTTTGGTCGAGTAGCAGCTCCTCAACTTCCCATTTGGTCAAGCTGGAAGCAGATGTTCGAACTGGCCGTGAGTTTGTTGTACGTCCTCACACTGGTGAACCAACCGGTGCCGCTGGAGGGGTGGAAAAGTCACCGGTATCCTCACTGTCGTCGCCTTCACGATCACTTCCCGACTCTCCATCACTTCATCATCTCCAGATGTCTCCCCGTCACCACTTCGTCCACTACGGACTCTGTCCTCCAAATCTTGACCTCCCGATTGTCCACCACCCCCACTTTCGACGTACAACGAATGAATCTGCGACGCAACCACAGTCCTCACAATGTCATCAAGCATGGGCACCAGAGGATCGTCGTACAGCATGAGAGATGACAGATATGGCTGCTCAGCCTCTACATCGGTGGGCCGGAGAGTTGTGTACACATGCAATTACGAAATGAGGTTTAGATAATCACATGAGAACGTGCCAGATAGTAACAAGATGGTAAAGGGGAAACGAAGACATGTCGAAATTGTACCTGTACATTCTTGAAATATGCATCGTATGTACAGTGTTGTGGCTACTTTCGAGTGGACCAGCGAAGAATTCGTGGCATTCGTTTACCGACTCGCTGATCGAAGCGTTCCCCAATCTCCAAAATCTCCTCGAATGCCCAAACCTGTTGCAACAACAGAAACACATTAAAATTACAGAGATTATAAGTGCAATGCTACCAGAGGGATAAATCATGCATGCTATGCTAATGTTACGAAGTGTGCGTACCTGCATAGCGATGGGGAAGCCGTGAACCGTGCATGTAATCTCTTTCTCCTTTCTCCTCTTGGCCTTTTGGAATTTTCTTGCAAAGCTACCCCGGAACCCGTGCAACAATCGCCTATATCCAACTCTACCCCAAGGGTAAGGAAAAAAGAAGTCCAGGTCGTCCACCATTGATAAAAATGGCAAATGGATTCCGACGTTATTATCTGGCATATACTCCCTTGACAATTAGAACCAGCCCTAGCTTGTAGTGATCAGCACGGGTCGTCGACGGTCGGGCAACAGTAGACTGTAGTTGTGCCAATGATACCTTGTCATTGGACATAAAGTACCTCTCTTTCAACCTTTTCCTCTCAATCAATCGATCGAAATCGTCCCCCTCCAGGAAGAGACTACATCTTGACCTCGTCACAGTAGAGTATTCTTGTAGACCGAATCTCATCAGGTGGCCTTGCACATTGAACCAAAGCTTGTTCACCTTTTCTGTGCGGACTATTCTAAACAGTAGCTGTAGGATTAGCTGGGCAGAGAATTGAATGTCTGGAATATCAACCAGATACCCGAGGGGGGAGTTGCGAAAGTCCTCGCGTTGCCGCTCGTCAAAATGATCTACACGATCTTAACGTACTTGAGGTTGCTGCGTTGGGAAATGTGAGCCCGCAACCGTGCGTCTTCTGGAATCAGGAATTCAAAGTCCATCTGCCCTGCTAGGTGCGTTGACAAAACCCATGAGATTAGATTATAAACATAAACAATGTTGTATAATGTCTAATGCTATAAGGATTCAACATTATGGATACGATGATCTATCGAGAACTATAGAGATCAAACGTCGGTATCGACAGACTGTTTGTGGACATCTGTCGATACCGACGGTTAATGTTGAAATAGGAATGATAGGCTAACTATCGAGAAAAATAGAGAGTCAAGTGTCGAGGTCGATAGTTCACTGGGAGTTACTATGCGTGCTGCGGGGTGCAAGTTCAACATATCAGGCAGTGCCACATAGAAGTATGTTTCAGAAGTAATAACGGAGGATGTGTGAAGGTAGACATGCATGCTAGGATTCGTAGCCATTCCAGTTACCGTACTTATTATCAAATATAGGAAACAAATTTATGTACGTGAATATGAATGGAGAATCAATATGAGACGGTGAAGGACATATATGCAAATGACTTGAACAAAACAATTTTTCAAGTCAAAGTAGGTAGGACACAGTATCATATACCTCAACTATTTGACGAATACTTAAGACAATCAATGACACCAGTTTGTACACCTCAACATGGTCAACAATAATTGAGACAATCAATGACATGAAAGAAAATTAATATTTATCCATCCTACGTATCCCATCAAATTGAGCAACGAAATCCTAGCGTGAGATAGTAACCGTACTTATGAGACACAAATGGAGAGTTAATATGACACAATGAAGGACATGTATGCAAGTGATTTGAACGAAATAATTTTAGAGGTCAAAGTAGGTAGGACACAGTATCATACACATCAACTATTTCATGAATACTTAAGACAATCAATGACACCATTTTGTACACCTCATTTAGCTCAACAATACTTAAAACAATAAACGAAATGGAAGAAAATTACTATTAATTCATTCTAGGCATCCCATCAAATTAAGCAACCAAATCCTACCATCAGATAGTTTGTATTCAACCAAATCAAATCATAAAAAACTAAATCCTCTTTATAACTTAGCAGAGAAAATCGACTTTTGCAGTCGCAGGAGTTGGCTGCACCAAAAATTGCCACATACGTATAAAGTTATCCATCGAAATTTCATGAAAATTCAATTTCACAAGAGGGACCCAAAATTGCACAAGCACAAGATTTTCGATATGCATCTCTTCTGTCCAATACAAACAAAAGCCCAGCAACAATAACCACTTATGTTTTTGGTAAGTGATGATATTAAATTATGATAAGGTGTGTATAATTTATTTCAAATTGTAACTTATACTATCTTATTATTGCCGCCGCCACCATCTTATACCAGAAATCATCACAACTGTCTAGAAGTAAGACATATAAAACCACAACAACAGATCTTTGTCAACAAATGATCGGATTACACTATGGTATTCACAACGACTATTGATAAAGCAAGTACTATAAACTCGACATTTTTGGACACCACATTTGGAAGCTTTGTCAAAACCTAATTCATTGAGATCAAGATTATGCTGAGAAAAGAAAAATACCCAAATCCCATCGAACAAAAGCCCTCATTTATTATGAAAAGTATATCAAAAGTTGTCTACTGATTAAACATTCAACTCTTAAATCTTCAAAAATTCAACACAAAATTGGAATATAGTTCGCCATTGGTACATTCAACCCTAAAGTCTCAATTAATCCAAAATTTCCCAAGTAGGTTATTGAACAACCACAACTATAATCATTTCCCAAAAGCACTTCAAACAAAGATGTGCAAAGGGGGAAAAATGTTCATTCTATCTTCTACCGAAGAGCAAGCATGAAATTACAGCAATTTTATATTCAAATCAGTCAAATAAATCCCTACATACTTTACCCAATACATTCAAACAATGAAATCTCAACTATACTCAAACAAATTACACTAATACAGAAAGAACCATTGTGTCTAATAATATGAACAATCTCGAAGTAGAACTAATTTCCCGAGTTCAATGGATATATTAAACTGTCATATGCCGTTTTATGTATATATTTCCTCTTCTTCAGAAAAAAATGCATAAAATGAATACAACACCAACCTGAAGAAATTAGTGATGGTCTTCGTCCACGGTGAAGTGACCCATAGCGGTCGTTGATGGCTGGTGGTTTGACGATTCGAATGTCAGAGGGGAGTCTCGCCTTTCGCCGGTTCGTATCACGTAACAGACTGCTCTCGGTCTTCGTCGGCGGTGAAAGATGGGAAAGTGCGATGGAGGGGATGATTCCAATGAAAGAGGAGAATGTGTGAGAAAAAATTGCATGAAATTACTACAACACCAACCTGAAGAAATTAATGATGGTCTTCGTCCACGGTGAAGTGACCCATGGCGGTCGTTGATGGCTGGTGGTTCGACGATTCGAATGTTAGAGGGGAGTCTCGCCTTTCGCCGGTTTGTATCACGCAACGGACTGCTCTTGGTCTTCGTCGGCGGTGAAAGAAGGGAAAGTGCGATGGAGGGGATGATTCCAATGAAAGAGGAAAATGTGTGAGAGAAGGGATTGTGTTTCAACACTGGTTTCTTCTTCTCCTCCTTCGTTTCGTTTGGTCGTTTCACCTTCTTCCTTCACCAGTTTTGTTCTTTTTCTTTTTTTCTCTCCAAGTACCTGACATTTTAGAGGTTTTGTACAATTTCAAGTGTTGTCATGTCATATTTAAACAAGGACTCAGACGGAATTAAACTTAGTAAGAGGGGCAAAAAAAGTCCAAATATGACAATTTTGCAATGACTTAAAAAAAGTGACATTTTTGTAAGTGAAAAAGTAAAATTTGACTAGTTTGATAATTTTCACATTCCTTCTTGTGCATTGCATATAAAAATAGGATTGTATATTATCCGTGGACACGTTTTCCCATTTTTTCAAAGACAAATAATGTCCATGTTTGTCATTCATTCTCTTCCATTCTTTCTTATTTTTTTTCCCACAGTACTCATTTTCAACCACACATTCTTCATTAAAATAATATTATAAGTAAATAAAAAAAATTTCATTTTTTTAACCACACATTTCAACATCAGTCACTATTTCATAGTACATTCTTTGCAAATAATGGGTGACAAACACACCCAATAATTCAAATTTGACCGTGATCAACTCGCAATTGACGAGAAAAAAAAATTCCGTCTCTTGTTGTTTTAAAAAATCTGAAATAAAAAAAATGGAAATTATTAATTTTAGAAAAAACTGATTATTATTATTATTATTTTATTTTTTTAAATCATAAGCCAGTTAAACAAGTATTTTCAAATTAGGATAAACTCGCGTATCACCTCGCAAGGTTTTCTTCTAAATTTGTACCGGAAATCTTTGTGAAAACTCGAAATAGACGGGGGTGCAACCCTCATCTTTAATGTAGGTGGTGACATCATATTTATATTTGTGAATATACTTTACATATGATTGTGATTCTTTATCACATATATGAAAATATAAGCCGATCTTCGGTTATAGATTGATTATTGAATTTCTATTATAATAATCATAGAAAGAAATCCGATGCCAAATTTTAGGGGTGTCTTTTTTTTTTTTTTAATATGCTACTGCATAACTTTGCACTGACAGTTTTCAACTGTTTGTGAATATGTCTGAATAAGAAAATTGAGAGTATTAACTTATATTTGATCTTCCTCCCCCTCACACTTTTGTTTACTGCAATGCAGGCTCTGGAAATGATGTTTTTCCGTCGAGTTTCGTCTAAAACACTTAGGCCTCTACAAAGAAGTAGGTTATTTGGAAGCAATAGCGGTTATGATTTTTCAAAAGCTATTCAAGAGCTCAATAAGGTATCTTTTCATGTGCTAGTGTGATCTCTTAATTTTTTTTTTCTTTATTCATCTAATATTAAAATAAACACTCTCGGTAGGATTGTAAACAAAGTAGAAATCGACAATATTTGGAAATTTTGAATACTGAAAAATAAATGGTATTATGATTTGTTATCTAAAGCTTAACAAGTGGACATAAAGTTCTTTTAAGAAGTCAAACGATTAAGATACTACATAAAAAAAATTGCTTTTAAAGTAAGATGAAAGGAGTAATTATAGTCTAGAAGCTCTATAGATTGACAGAACAACATTTTTTAAAGTTTATTAATAACTGTGTAATTGGATGTAGGAAATGGAATCTGTGTTTGGTGAACCTCCAAAATCTAGTCTTGCTGGTTCTATAGACAACCAAAGTATGGCTCATGATTCAGAATCTGCACCAACTCATGTGACACAAAGTATATCATCCTCTGGCTTGACTCATACTGACAGTAGAGGTGAAGCCCAAATGGTAGATATCTCTCCCAAAGAGATAACAAAGAGAGTGGCCATTGCAAGTTGCAAAGTTATTCTGGGGCAGAAGGTGTTTGATTTGGTCTCAGCCAACCAGGTGGAAAAAGGAGATGTTCTTGGTGTAGCAAAAATTGCTGGAATTTGTGGTGCGAAACAAACGAGCAACCTCATCCCACTATGTCACAACATCAATTTGTCACACGTTGCTTTAAATTTGACACTGAGTCCTCAGGACCTTTGCGTGGAAATAGAAAGTGAAGCTGCTTCAAATGGCAAAACTGGGGTGGAGATGGAAGCCTTGACAGCTGTGACTATTGCTGGTCTAACAGTATATGATATGTGCAAGGCTGCTTCAAAAGATATCCTCATTACAGATATACGGCTTGAAAGCAAAAGTGGTGGGAAAAGTGGGGATTGGTCGAGGAAGAAATGAATTTCCATAGGTGGGAACTTTTGTTGTCTAAATATTAGATGCATTTCCGTGTTTATGTGCATTGTTCCGGCTAAGAACTATTCATGTTACGATACTCTGTGTTTGTTGTCTTGGTGTCATATCTGTTTGGCTTTTCAGACGATGTACTGGTTAAATGAATGTCTGAATCAGACGTATATCTCTTATGGGGTTATGGATTTGCCATTTGTATAATCTACTTCGAATTTATTGGCAATGAAGCAACATCAGGTTTTGTAGTTTTTGTTTTGGAGATGACATTTCTACTTTCTTTGGATGTGTGTTGACGTGAAATTTTCAAGCACACGTACAGTAAATACGTGTTTAGTACACAACAATCGAATGTACAAAGTATATCACACCAGTACATATTATTTATATTGACTGGAAAAATAAAACAAGGATTATTCCGAATGCTTTTAGAAGAAACTTTATAGGCTTTAAATCTTTTTGGATGGTAATAGAACCCTTCTTCGATATTCTGCTAGAGCCCACAATGGGTATATGTTTCTGTACGCTGCATAATGTAACATGCAATTCTTCATAAAAACTCCTGTGATTTCCTGCCAATACATGAACAATGTGATGGTTAGTTATACGAAACATGTAACTTGGGTTTGGGAGCACATTGAATTTGTGAAATTGCAAGTTCTTATTTAATTAATTTAATATGAAAAATTATAAATTAAGAAAGGTATGCGGGACGCTTAATTATAGTTTACCTGTTGGGGATAATCACCATTTTCCATCTGAGAGTTGATCAAAAGTTTTGCTGCTCTGTGGAGAGGAGTAGGATCTCTATCCGCCTGCCAATTTTTTTTTCCGAAAAAAGGTGATTATATTTTTTGATGAAAAGAAAATCAGTTAACAGCATTATAATTAATAACTCAAGGAAGAATACTGTAAAAGAAGATAAACCTGGCCTGAATAAATAAGTCCCATCATAGCCCAGGCAGTATGTACCAAGTTTGAGCGGTTTCCTTCAAGAGGGACATATTCCTGTTCAATGAAACTCAGAAAATAAGGAGACGTTTCTTATATATATGCTCTATTTTCCGTTCTTTCATTGGATCCAAAGTGTGTGTACGAGTCTAAAAATATTATGGCATGTTTGGCAACGAGCAGTTTTGAGAAAGAAAAAGAAACTTAATTTTTCATTATATTGTCGATTACTGCATTTGGAACATGCATTTACGGTCTAAATGTTCTGTAGATGGTAACAAGATTTTCTGCTGAATAGTAGGCACTAGGAACTACCTTTTTTGGGCAGGAAAGATAGCTTTCTCCAAAGCCACCATCATCCATCTGTGCTTTTAGTAGAAATTCGACACATTTTCTAACTGCTGGACAATTTTTGTAGCTCATTCCTGCTGCTTCTAGGCCTCCAAGAGCAAACCAGGAACCATATGTGAAGCACACCCCCCAATTCCCATACCTGTACACGTGCTTGTTCATGTGATAAAGACTGCCAAACAATGCTTAACGCATCAATATATCGCTAAATAATCAGAAGGAAAGTATACCATGAACCATCAGGCCTCTGGATGTCTTCAAGGTATCTAACAGCCTTTACAATGAAGTTTTCTATATCTTTCTTCCGGTGTTCAGGGTATAATTTCTTGAATAGTACAAGAGCTTGGATTGCTGATGAAGTGCATTCCACGTACCTGCAGGATAAAAACTCTTGTTGGGCTCTTGCTATGAATAAAACGCGTTCCTTAGAAGGAAAAGACAGGTGGATGAATCTTACTCATGTTCAATGACAATGTCAGCAAAAAACTCCGTAGGATTGAGCAACTGCGGCAAAATGAAAGCAGTTATTAACTTCGTTTTGTTTTCATAGACATGATACAGTTGGAACATCTGAATACTGAATATTTTGTTAAAATTCATGAACTTTTGACAGAAGAAACTACCTCCAACCATTCTGAGGCTCCAGCAGGCTCCCATGCAGCTAAACCACCATTTTTGCTCTGCATTCATCGTAACATGTTGAGATCTCTGGTTGTTACTCAGTGTGGTTGTCACAATTAAGGGTTCAGAAAAACGGCATGTTAAAGAAACATTTTTTTATCTACGTAAAGACTAAATGCATCTCTCTCCCTCCCTCTCTTTAATAACTTTACTTTTTAGATGAGATAACTCGATATGGTATTGGATTCCATCGGTTCAAGTCTTCCCGTCACCTATTTATGAAAATTGTTCATGTGATTGGCCGTTGATAGAAAAATATGAATCTGGCCTGCATGTAAGGAGGCGTCTTGAATTTAAATGTATTTTCCTATCTAACAACTTAAGTTTTTGAATGTTGTGATTCCATAGTCCATCTTATGGTACTTCTACCTTATGAATTTATGATCCATTTCAACTTATTCATTATGGGGTCTTGATTTACTGAGCAATTGAAAGGGCAGGTACATTATACTTGGATGAATTATACTAAGCTTTACAAAAGCTAAGTAGTATATATTGGTTGCAGGGTTGACTGGAACTACGGGAAAAGATCAAATCATACCTGCAAGGAAATCAATAAGTTGACAGAATTGAATAACCCTTCAGGTTCCATTTGCTCACCAACTATCTCAGGAGGCATCATTGAGAAGAGAAGGCAACACTGATGAATTCAAATGGAAAAAGGTAAACCAGATATTATTAAGAATTCAGATTCAATTTTTATTTTTATTTTTTTTCTTGCAAAATTCTCAAATAAAATGAGCTTAGTCTCTAGATAAAGATGGAGACCTTTAACCCCTCTGCTGTGCAATCAGATACTTGCCATCCATGATCTTGATCTGAAAATGTCCACGATCCTTTAGAAATATGTCGGTACATGCTCTTGAAGTCTCCAGAAGGATCGTCTTTGACCTGCAAGTATACAGTGTAAGTATACAACTAAAAAATTATCTTCGGTACATAGTATTGGATAATAGAATAATAAACAAAGTTCGAGTTTCTTTTTCCTCTTTAATACCGTCTAGTTCTATCCAATCCTCCCAATAAAAGTACCCATAGATTCTATCTTAATGTAGTGTTTTAATTTGTTAAATTTTTTACCTGAGACTTTTTGATGAAATCATGCCCTTTTTTTAGAGTCTCCCCTATTTCATCAGTAAAATCACTTGCCAGCAGTGCTTGAATGGCAAAACCAGTATCCCATTCTTGACTGCCAAAACTCTGCATCACAGTGGTTAATAATATATGTCTTAATCAGCAAGTCAGAACCAAATATTTCAACTTTATCAAATTCGAAACATGGTACTTAAAGTATTTCAAACATTTTATTCTTGTATATGCACGCTAGTTTCAGATTCCTATATCCTAAGTGATGTTATCAAAACATTTAGGTGGTTAATAATTGATTCAGCAAAGACTTAACCGAAGAGGATGTACCTGCATCTTCATTCCATCTTCGGCTACCCACAAGTAGTCTGGGATTCTGGCAAGGTGCTTCTTGAAATAATCTCCATTGGGATCCTCAGCCCAGCAAGCCAGCATACATAACACCTTCTCCACACATCCTATGGTGATATATCTGCTATTTTCATCTTCATAGTGAATATGCTTCATTGTTACTTGAAGAGCTTTTTCTCTCAACTTATTGAAAGGCCAACGAGTCAAGAGAGGCTCTGAAAGTACATAACAACTATCCCAAATCAAGTCTTGTATCCATGGGTGGGGATAATACATGTCCTCCTGCATTAACATTGTATAGTTCAGATCGGGTATATAACAACCTGGAAAGGAGTTGAATAGGTTGTTCGTGTTCAAAATTAGGTTTTTTGTGTTCAAGTTTTAAGAATTCATAACAGAAGGCACACATTTGACAGTAGCTGACATAGTTTTTTGTTAGTGACCTAGATTCTGTTACCTAGTTTCTAGATCTTCTACATTAGTGTTCCTGCAGGCTGCAGTGACAGTGATGATTTCATGCTGAATAAAACATACTATGACGACTTACTTTTGCACACGAGTGTCGTATTTTCCTCCAGTTGATTTCATTGTAGGGTTGATCATACAACTCTTCTCTCAACTGTAGAATAAGCGACGTGATTGGACCAACAAATCTTTTTCCATATAAATATGACATTGGCATGTAAACCATTCTGCAGTAGCACCACATCTTGGCTGCATTTTTTGTTAAAAATCATCATTAGCTGAGATTCTTATCCAAATTAAGTGGATTTCTGTAATTAGAACAGGGCAAACCTGGATGCATAGGGAGAAATGACGGGAGAATCCAAAATTCCGGGGGCATTGGGTTGCTTCCAGACCACTCAAACACTCCAAGTATCTGAAAGAGAAAAATTAGTATTAAAGTTGCATAATCCACAAAGTCCTTAATACTATCGAGTGCATCTAATCCTCCTTACTGAAAGCCACGTCTTTCCCCATGAAGGTATTGCTGTGACAGTGCCATGGTCGAGTATCCATTTTCTTGCTCTAACACAGGCATTGTTTTGCCCACCATCAGGTCCCTCTCCCAGTATACGCATACATATGTAACTGAGTGTTGTACAGAACATTGTGCTATGTCCCTCTATGTGAAAACCCCAGCCACCATCTTCATTCTGTTATGTGGAAAAGGCCATTAATCCATCATTAAAAAGCTAAAGATACATAATTGAATTCATCTGAATTGAAGTTATATCGAGAAATTAGATGTAGCACCTGGTGACAGTATAGGTATCGTAGAATTTCTTTACGATGTTCTGCCGGAAAAACGGTGTTGAGATGGCCAGTAATGTACACACACATGACCTGCATATTCCATGCTAAGATTTTGCATCATCGAAATTGCATCGATCCACTTCAATACTAAAGTGTTCCTGCTTAATGTTTGATAACTCATCTCATTGCCTAAAGGTGCGAAACTCATTGGTTGTAAATAGATATTTAAAACCAAGAGGAATTTAAAGGGTGATGTGGAGAGATATAAGGCTGGTCTTGTTGCAAATTGCTATACTCAAAAGAAAGGTATTGACTTTAAAGAGACTTTCTCTTCGATTTCTATAAAAGACTCCTTTAGGATTATTATGGCATTTGTGACACATTTTGATCTTAAGCTATTTTAGAAATTCATCTATGGGTTTAAGCAGGTTTCCCGTCAATGGCATTGTAACTTTCATCAAATAATTATCTCGTTTGATCTTGAGATAAAGACAATCGATGATGGTGTATACCGCAAGTTTAGTGGGAGTAAATATAATTTTTGGTATCGGATGTCAATGACATACTATTTGCC